TTAAGAGTTGATTTATGTAAACAGGCCAGCCCAATCACTGCAGTAAAATCTCACGTCAACTGAACAAACCTTTGACTGTACCTGTTACCCACCAAACCACATACAACAGAAGATGTAACTCATCACAGATGTAGTTCCAGTAACACTGAAAAATAAAGAACATCCTGGAGCACCACTGGGCAGCACCAAGCCCTGTGACACGCACCCAGCCAGGTCTGCATTTGAGCACAGCTTGGTCACTGGCTCCCTCTGCTGAACCCCACTAATATTTCATGTATTGAGAGGAAGACGGTGGAAGAGTAACCAGTGCTATATACCTCCCTACTCTTAGCACCAGCTATAAAGGTGATCATAATCCCTCAGTGCAAGAATTCACTGAGCCAGGTATTCTTGAGGTTTTTTCATCAGCCCTAGAACACTTGAAGCCCAATTCCTCCTTCCCTGTGAATGTGAAATGTTGCAGGCTTCTGCCTCAGTGAGGGCTGTATGACTCCCTTTTCTATCCCCTTTTCCTGAAGCTTGTATGAATTTCATGAAATCTCTGCTCCCCATCAAGTTTGACCCCATTGGCTACTTTCAGCTAAGAATTAATGGGAAGACAGATGGTGCAGTTATATAAGCCTCGTTTCCTGCCTAAGTCTGGCTAAGAAAGAGCTCAAGCGTGCCAGATTTGTTAATATGTACATCCTCATTTTTTCTAAGAGCAGAGCTATTGCTACCCAAGCATCCTCTTCCAGATATCTGGTAACTGACCTCAACAGATAAAGAAAACAGACAGCACTAACTTTCTCAAATCACCTTCTGCCAGTTTTTGAGATAGGAAAAATTGTTGAGACTCCAGAAGTCTCCCAGGATAGAAAAATACTTGCCTTCCACAGAAACAGTTTCTGTTTTTTTAACTCATTCCTGATTCTACATAATTAAGGCTCATGCTTTTGCTTTTTGATCTAAGCAGGTGGTATTCTTCCTAAGTAAAAGTGGTACATCCCACATGCATAAAAAAAGGAACGGGAAAAAAAATACAGGATTTGGGAAGGGACATACATTCCAAATTTTGTTGTGGTTCCAGGATTAAGTCACCCTGGAAATCTCTGGACTTCTTTCAAAATGAAAGGCATAGCTCCTGAAATGGCTCTAAAAAGTTGCTATATTTGCTGAGGTTTGTGTGGTGATTGATGGATCAAAGCAGTTTGTCAGAAATACCATCTCAACAAAGCTGTACACAAGCTTTAAAATGCTAATGAGTTACCTGGCAGTGATTGCTGTCAGGACCTGGTTCTTCACAAAAGATACCTGAAGCAGTTTCCCCATCTCCAACTCATTCATAGTTAAGAAAGCTGAAATTCAAGTGCTGATTCCTTTCTACTTACACTACACAGGGAAAACCCAAACCCAGCTAACCCCAACCAAAACCCCCTTACCCTTATGCATTCAAAATTCTAGTCATCTACATAGTCCCTCAGAATTTCATGCCACAAGCAGTTTTCCTATCCATTACATAACACGCATTGCAAGGTTTGCACAACACATTCTATTATGGATTGCAATGAAGACATCAGAAATCCTTGCTTTTTTCCCTTCAAATTTAATGTGGTGCTTTCAGAACAGTTAAAACACCAATTTGTGAGGATAGACTCCATTTGAGAGACAGAATGTAGAACGCAGGTACCCACGGAGCTGAGGCACCTTCTTGATTCGTGCAAGGATCTGTGAATCCACTGCCTTCTGGTCTGACTTGCGTTGCTCCGTTATCTCGTATTTCTAGAAAGTACCAAGAATAACATTAAAATCCTGCAGAGTGACTTCAGACTTTTCTGTGGAAACGAGAAAATTCAGGGCAAACCCTGAGTTCTGGCATTTTCAGGAAATCTTTTCTCCATTTGGTCTAAATACAGGAAAGGTGGCAGGAGACCGGAGGTGGCAGAGAACTGAAGCCACCATTTGGCTTACGTTGCAGATATCAGAGCCAGCAGCATGCTGTTGGCAGTATCAAAACAGTGAGGGTGTTTCTTGGTCAAAAAAACCATTTAACTAGAATAAACATTGCTGCTGTTCTGCTAAGGTAGAAGCAGAAAAGAATCCCCAAAGGTAAAAAGGGGTTATCTCAATGCTGCTGTATTAATTAATTTTAATGGCACTGCCACACTTCATTGAGGACCACTTAAAATTCAATTGTCCAGTCATGCTATTTCCCTTTCCAGCCTGGCTTTAAGTAACAAGGGCATTCAGGAGGAGTGAATAATCATGTTCCTTACTTCTTTTTCAGTGTCAAAGATCTCTCCTTCCTGGTGCTTAGGCTTACGCAGCCTCTTCTTCTTGAAGTATGCATCCGTGAGATGCTTGGGAATTTTCACTCCAGAGATATCAACCTTTGTAGATGTAGCAATAACGAATTTCTGATGGGCCCGACGCAGGGGGACACGATTGATAACCAAGGGTCCTAAAAGCAGAAGAATAAGGTTAGCTTTCCTGGCAACAACCACTGTTTTTAAGTTGAATTTTTGTAGTAGGAGATTACTAGTTTCTTCAGAAATGCCTACAGTTAAAATCTGAACAATCAACGAAGCCCTTCCCCACAGCCCCTAGAAAAGCCAAAAAATGTTCCCTGATCTCTTCCAGGCAGTCAGGTACTGAAGCTCTACTCCACCTCCCCAGAAAGTCACAAAACATGATTCCACATAGTGTAACCACCCGCATGCAGATCTGTAGCACCCCTGACCCCAGGGACAAAGCTTAACTTAAGCCCACTCAACCCCCCCCAAAACAAACAAAAAATCATCACACTTTTACATAAGTTTTTTACCTGTAACAAGCAAAAGGCCAGTAGCAAGCTGCTTCAAGAAGACAACACGCTGAAAAGAGAAGAGATGAGACATCAGTCCTCATGTCCCAGCACTCTGAAATACCGCAACCGAACTGGGACCACACCTGCGCTTGGCCCGTGTTACCGGTACAAGCACCGACAAAGCACCCCGGTACGGGCACAACCGTGCGACTCGAGAAGTAACCACCACACAAGCCAGGCTATCAACTTTCTCTGAGTAAGGCTTTGCCAGGTACCTCATCTACAACAGGTCGCGACTCTCCGCATGCTCCATCGTGCGAGGCTGAGCAAAGCCACCAGTACGTTTTTTTAATCTTTGCCTGTTCTACAGGATGGTGAGGCAGCCATCCCGCCAACCCTGTTCTTTGTACGAGTTAAAGGGAGAGACTAAATAAGGACCAGAAGGGCACCACAACATATCACACAGTCAGAGCCACCCCCAGTTGCATTTTGTTCTTTCTGGTCAAGTTTACCTTCTCTGAACAGCATTCTTTTAAGTAACATGAATTGAAGCCAAAGAATTCAAGAAAACAAAGGATGCCAGTTAAGACCTGTTAGTAAACATCATTAAAATGAAGAACACAGCTCAATATAACAATCCAGTGCTACCTTGATAATTAGATTAAGAATGGAAGTCTAATTCTTCCTGTTCTATAGCTAGTCCAAGACAAAGTTTCATCCTCACTGCAACAGTAACACAGAGGCATCAGCCCTGCCCTTCTGCAGCGCAAAGTTAGCACAACATGAATCCACGCACTTTTCTGCATTGCAGCAAGGCTCCCTTCATTTTGTCTAAGCAACTGGACTAGCCTGTTTTACTTCCAGCTCTATGTAGAATGCTTATTTAAAGACCATTTCCCCTAAAGGCAGGATGAGAGAAAGCATCTAGACAGAATTCACAGAAAACCAGATTTGCATCTCTGAGGCTGAGCAGTGCTCCCTGCCATCAGCTGGTAAATTCCCGACACCTCTGCTCAGTGCAAATGGTTTCAGCACAGAAATGCCGCGAAGCCTCAGTGAGAGCCAACGGGAAGAAGCCTGGGATTACCTTCCCTCTGTGACGCCCGGTCAGAAGGATGAGGACAGTTCCTGGAGTAATAGAGGCCCGCAGCCTCCTCTTGTGCTGGCAGAAGGGCTTCTTGCCGTGACTCAAAAGCTTGCGAGGAACATCTTCAGTGGGGTAGTATCTAGGCTAGAGAAAGAGCAGCAAAACATTGTACCACCCTTTGTTCCACAGGACAGAAAGCTTTCACTACAGCTCTTCCTTTCGTAGGAAATACTATTTCCCTAAAGATGACCATTCTAAAAGACTTTTTTCTGCTTCAACCAGCATTTCAGGAACACGCTAAGTATTTTCTCTACAATCACGCAACTGCAAAAATTGAGGCCAGCTCTCTATTTCTGTGTGTGCTTCCGACTCAGCCCAGCGACACAAATGGCAGAGCAGGACCCACTCCTGCCTACTGACCCGCCTCGAGGAGCTCACCGCCGGCAGCTCAGTGGGCCAACAAGAAGCGCATTATCTCTTCAAAAAGTTCCGCGTGACAGCCCCGAACGGTGAGCACCCCTCTCCTGCTTCTTACCATTTTGCGGATTTTAACCACACGGCTGCCTCCATTCTTGTCTCCACCCACTGGCTTGATGATGGTCGCGCGGGGCTTTTCTTTCTTTTTCTTTTCTATCTGTAGGCAAAGAAAAGAGAAAACGTGTCACGCTTCAATCCAAATTCACTGTGATTATTCAAACACAGTCTGTACTGACCTACCTTTGTTTCCGGAGCAGTGTACTTGCGCTTGTACAGTGCTTTTCTGGCATACATGGCTGACCGGGAATACCTCCCAATGCCCCGGGCCAGGACTGGGTTACGGCTGGCATGATGCTTCTTAACCTTCTTTTTCTTCTCACCTGCTTCCTTCTGGCTTCCCTTCTGCTCAGCCGGTGCCTTCTCACCTGTCTTTTTCTTGCCAGGCTTTTTCTCACCGGCTGCCTTCTCTCCTGGCTTTTTCTCACCGGCCGCCTTCTCGCCCGCCATCTGAGGAGCCAAGTAAAACAGAAATTATTATTTATTACAAGGCGTATAGAGAAGCGTCTAAGTTGCAGAAATAAAAGGATCGGAATTTGATGGTTTGCACTACTCTAACAGCTGTCAGCCACCTCCTGCAGCCGCGGCTAACCGAGACACCGCAAAGCCAAGAGCCGTATCGCGAACCGCTCCTCCGCGCCCGCGCCGCCGGTACCAACCCGCCGAGCGCATCCCAGGCCCAGGAAAGGGCAAAGACTCGCCGAGGCTGCAGTCGCCGCCGCTCAGGGTTCCCCTCGGCCCGTGCCACACCGCGGGGCTACAGCGGCTTTCACCGGGCTACCGCTTAGCCCCGAGGAGACCCCCGGTCCCGGCCCAGCGCGGTCCCCGCAGCCAGCGGCGGCCTGGCCCGGCCACAGGCAGCTCAACCTCCCGCTCCACCCCCGCTCCCACATCGCCCCCAGGGCCTCATCGCCACCTCCCTGAGGGCGCTGGGCCGGGCCCATAAGCCCGGCACAGCCACCCGAGGGCGGATGGCGGCGGATGGCGCCCACCGGGCCCCGGCCCTGCCCGCAGCCGCTCCGCCATTCTCACCTTCCGGGATGGAAAAGGAACTCACATCCGGGTACAAGCGGCCTAAAGGGAACGTGGCGTCTGGCGTCACCGCGCCGCCCGCAGGGCACGCTGGGACTTGTAGTCCCGGCGGATCCGGCGCGATCCCCGGTCACCCGTGGAGGGAACACCGGCCTCCGGCACTCCGGCCCGGGGGGGCTGCGTGGGCGGCCGGCGGCTCCGCAAGCGGGGCTCGGGGCACGGCGGAGGTAAGGCTCCGCGCCAACGCCCAGCCCGGCTTCACGGCGATGAAGCTGCGCTCCTCCCGTGGCTGGGTGCTACCGGCGCCCGCTCCTGGGGAGAGCCCCACGGCCCTTTTTCTCTTTTTTCTTTTTTTTTTTTTTTTTTCCCCCGCTTTTGAGGCGGGACAGTGTCGCAGCCTGGTGACGCAGCGGGCGGGTGACGCAGGGCGGGCCGCGCCGCGCTGCGGGGCCTGAGGCGGCCGTTGTTCACGCTCCCTCCTGGGCGCCCCTAGGCCGCGGCCCGCGCCGGGGGACACCCCCCCTCCCTCCCCCCAAAAAAAACCCAAAACAAAACCAACCCCATGTAAGAAGCGGCTGTTGAGGCGTGGGGGCGGCTGGGCGCACCGCGACCCTCCGGTGCCACGGGAGAAAATGACATCGCGGAGGTGAGGCGGGAGCGAGCCGGGCGGGGGGGGGGGGGGCGGGTAGGGCCCGGGTCCCTCGGTGCCCGCTTTTGGGGGGGTCCCCGGGCCGGGCCTCGCCTCCTCCCCGCAGCCGGGCAACGCCTCCCGCGCCCCAGCCCCGCTCCCGCCTCCCTCCCTCCTCGGTTCCCGGCTCGCTCCCCACCCGCGCCTCCCCTCGCTGTCCCCGGGGGGGCGAGGGGGCTGCCCGGCCCGGGGCTCCACCGGCCCCCGCGGCAGAGCCCGAGCTGCTGCACTAGCCTTGGCTGTGTGTGAGCGTGTGGGGGGCTTCAGGCGAGTCCCGCTGCGTCCATGGGTGCGTTGAACCGGAGCCGAGAGATGAATTTTGTGTGGCAACCCACTCGATCCGGTACCTGAGGCCGGGGAGGGTCGCACTGCTGTGGGTAGTCCAGCGCTAATAACGTTACTGAAACTAAAACATCAGCCAACTTTAAAACGAGGGCTCGCAAGCTGACCTGGTCTGGGCTCTCAGTGTATTAGCAGCATTCGGTCTAATTTCAAACCCTTGTGGTGTTGCAAAGTCAGGATGATAAAGAATTGAATCTGTTTTCTTTGTTGTAGCTTCTCACTGTCCTTAATGTGTTTTGATGTTTGCCTTATTTTACCAGTCCCTTTTGGACTGAGAGATTAAGTTAAATGTTGGATTTAAGAAGAATTACTATCATAAAAAGGAGAAATATATTAAAATCTAACATACCTATTCTGAAATTTGATACATCTTTTTAAATAATACCTATTAAAGTATAACTTCTTCAACGCTGGCTTGTCCTCTTTCTTGTTCTGCTTGAGATGGTTGAAGCTAGATAGGTTGCTTTTCAGTCCCTGCCCATTTATAGTCACAGTTGGGTTTGGGGTCTCCTGAAGCACATGGAGGATCTCTGGTGTATAGTGGGTTTTCTGAATGTTGCTACCCACTGATTGGAGCAAGTATACAAGTCACCTTTTGGAAACACTTGCAGACTTCCTCATTGCTGGGACTGATCCTCATATTCTGCTCAGAACTTTAAATTGTAACTTGTGAGGGAGACTGAAAAAAGATGAGAAATATAAACTGATGAACCTATAAATAGGCGTAATTAAACTACCAGTCACGGCCTCCCTGAATGCTACAGTTGTGACAGCTGAGACTCAGAACTGATTTAATCTCTCCTGCTCTTGAAAAGGTGATTAGAAAAGCCAAATTACAGCATAGAAAAATGTATTGATTTTTTTTTCTTTTCTCTCTTCAGTTTGGTAAGAGAAATATGCTGGCAATGTATGACTTACAAAACGCGGGTCCTGCTGATATTTTGTGGGCCATGCTAACCAAAAAAAAAAAGAGAACTGTAGCAAGGCTGTATTTCCTACCATGTATTAGTTTTCATCAAAAGGTTTCTTGCTTAGCTGATATCCCCTTAGTTTTGTAAATGAGATCCCCACCATTTCACTGTCTACTTTTCTGCCAACGTTTTCATCTTGCTGTAAACTAATAAGGGACTTGGAATGGTATGCTGCTGAACCCCCCCAAATCAGAATTGCTGTAAGGAGTATTCCATGCATAGTGAGGACAGCTAGTTTAATTAGAGCGTGGGCTTACGTGTGCGTGTGTTACTTTCTTGATTGTATTTACTGGCTGTAATGTCCTTTGCTTGGGATAGCCTCTGCACCTGCTCATAATAGAGGTTGAAGAAGGAAAGTAGAAAAAAAGCCTAAAATGCATTCCATCCCTATAAAAGGAAGTGCAAGAGAAAGTTCTCTATAGGGCTTGTGTTACTGGTATCTGTGTCTGCAGTCCCTGTGCGCTCTCCTCCAGTTTTGGAAGGGATGTAGCCACCGAGGTTCAAAAGCACACATGTGATGGCAGTACTTCAAATGAAGCGATCTTGATCACCGGTCCGGAACCATTTAACAGAGATCACTAACACCCCCATTTTTCTATTTGGAGTGGCTGACAAATGCATCTTCCTACTCAAAGCCAAAAATACAAAGATGAGAGAGCAGGAGTACAAGTTACCATTAGAACAAAAGTTACATAAAGTGCAGTAAACTCCATTGGTCTCCCAGATGTAACTTTTCTTTTGATACAGTCACTTTTTGCCATCTTCCTTTTTGCCATCTTCAGTAGGAGTGTATGTATATGTAGGGGTGAGATTTTTATTTTTAAACAATCTATCATGCTTTTAATCTCTCCTTTATGCACAAGTTATTCGTAGCCCCTTCTGTTCATTAAATTATTAGTTTTTCTTTTATTTTGTATCTTTGTAACAACTGGTGTACAGTTAATTCCAGATATATTAGGATTTAGAATAAGATACAGAAGATACTATATTAATTAAAGTTTATGGAATGTCACCATACAGTAGGGTTGATTCCAATAACTTCTTCTTTGTATATTTATACATTTTTGGATATAAGCTTAGAAACTTGCAAAGGTGTGTCTTTAAAAGCTTATAAACTGTTTAAAATGTTGCTGCACTTTTGTTTGTTTTTTGTTTTTTTCTTAACGGAAGTAAAATCTTAGGGGTGGAAGTGTGGTAAATATATTACAGGTTTTGCAGGCCAACCTGTCATATTCTGAGATATATTATTTAATGTTGAGTTCATCCCAGATACGCATACTTGTGCAGTTTCTTTTGTGAGGCTGCCTCAAAACAGAACTTTTTTTGACCTCTGAGTAGTCATTAGATAAATGTAGCGTTATTTATTAATTCATTCCCATTTGCTGTAATAACTTGGAAATATTTTTTAGTAATTTTTTTCATGACCCGGGCTGCATAGGTTTGATTTTTTTTCTTGTTGTTCAGTTAAAGATGCAGTAGTATCCACTAGATTTTCTTGGTGCAAGCGGAATATCCATAACTAGAAAAAAAGCAAGATTAACAAGAAGACTCATTTACTTCTGAAATTGAATTGGTACACAAGTAATCTTAATTCCCACTTGAATGATTTTGTAGAGCTTGCATATTCTAGGATCTCTAAAACTCTCCAGGCTGTTTCGATGAGAATCTGTTACTGAAGAGAATAGACTGGATAAGGCCTGGGTAGGAATATTGTCAGCTTTTCAGTACAGAAGGAATTGCTGAAACAATTGAAGTAATGACCCTAAATTTAGACACGCACTTGCATATTTTGCTGTTTTAGCAATTTAGCATGAAATGCTGACTGTATCAGGAACGATCAGAAATACTATTAAATTTATTTTGGATATAGCACTCATATCTATAATGACATTGGTTGCAGAGTCATTTGCCTTAATATTTTGCTTTACTTTGGAGAAACTAAGAACCTGGTGTACAAAGAGGAGTAGCCTGTGTTCCTTCTGCAGATATAGAGGTGCATTTTCACTTGTGCCCTGCATAGCGTCTGATTTATGGCAACTCTGGAAAATAAAGCGATCTTTTAATTGCCAAATACAAGTCTGACAAAGCCACTAAAACACTTCTTAGTTGCTGTGTTCAAATCTCTGTCCCTGGGCTGTGTGGTGGTTTGTTTGGGTTTTCTTTAAGTTTCTCTTCTAAAATCGTGCCTCATTGAAAACTCCTTTCATCCGGAACACACAGATGTAGTTTAGTACTGTAAGAGTGCAATAAAAATCCTCAATTATAGATAAGAGAGAACGCAGATGTGTTAATTGAATGGCTAAGAATAAGTCTCTCAAAATTAATGCCATAGGTGGGGACACTGAGCTTCTTGGATATAGACCATATACAGTTCTCCTTTGGAAGGGCACTATATTAGTCATTCAGAAGGCTGTTTGTGGGTGGTGAATATCAATATGAGATTCCTCGGTGTTTGTATTTAAGTGGGATATATTCGGACCAGAGAAATTGCCATGGTAGTTAGAAGTCAGAGCAGCGCTCTGGCAGCGGTCAGCACCACGTTCTGTTGAGGAGGGTGGAAGGCGGCTGGACAGCTGCGTAGGTTGTCCTCAAGGGAAGCTCCTTCCTGACCCCTGTCAGCTGGGGGGGGCAGCCGGTGCCCTAAAGCATGAGGTTTTGTTAAATTTTTAACCTTTAAAATGTTGTCAAGTGTCACTTTGGATGTTTTGTTTTCTTTTTCAGTATTTTTCCTGATTGTCTTTCAGTTTTTTTGTGTGTCCTGTCTTCCCAGAGTATGGAAAATGCATGACTTGTGGTCTCTGTTTACATTGTAAACCTTTGATAGCATTTTAATCCGAGCGATCGGAATGTGTGTGGGTATAGCTCTTCCACTTACAAAGCATCTCTTACCAGTATGTAAAATTGCAACATCACACGAAATGGACAATTTATACCTTCTGCTAAGATACAGATTCTTACTTAATTAGGAACAAAATTCAGTACTTCCTGGCTTTGAAGCTGTTGAATTTCTCTGATTAGTCTTGTCATGTAAGGTAACTCCGAAAACCAGATCTTCTACGTATTTATTAACACTCTTTATTTTTAACCTCTTATAGATGGTTTCATCCGAATATTACTGGGGTGGAGGCAGAAAACCTGCTGTTGACAAGAGGAGTGGATGGCAGTTTTTTGGCACGGCCCAGCAAAAGTAACCCGGGAGACTTTACACTCTCTGTTAGGTAAGTTTAACTGTGTTTTTATCTTTCTCCCCAAATTGGTAAGGGTCTTCATTTGATGCTGTTCTATGGGGAAAGAGTTGTAAATTAGCTACTTGCAAGAGATGAAAGAAGGCATGGATGACTTTTTAGTCTGTTGTTCACTTTTCTCCTTTTTCTCCTGTTTTCCATGAAGGGGTTCTCAAATACTTTTGCCCAACTTGGGGAAACTATACATTGGAGACAAGTGATTTCTGATTCTGAAGAGACAGAAAAGATAAGGGGAAGCAGAAGTAGATTTGTAATAGCATTACTTTTATCCCTTTAAAAATCTATTCGGTAACCACCTGGAAGTAGCAGAGATATGAATTACTGATCAAGCATGTGCAAGGGAATGCTCTCCAGACTCTCTTCTTACCGGAAAAGTCAGCAAGTTTTTAAGGGCAACTGTGGTGCTATTTCAGCTTCCAAAATAGTCCTTTTGTAACGCTTGTCCCCTGACATTGTGTGTATAATGGTAGAGATGGGGAAAGAACGGCAGGAGGAAGTAGATAAAGGAAAAAGGAAAAGTGGGATTGGTGATAAGAATAATGCTGCTGGGATACCTTTGAGATAATGGGCCTTGTTGAACAGAAGGGGACTGTTTCAGAGAGCTGCTCTTCATTAACACTAGAGGCTGTGGGAGCAAATGACTTGCATCAGGCAAAGGCAACTGTTTATTGAAGGAGAAATATTAGCAGTTACTGTGAAATTCTGGGGAAAGGAGTAAACAACCTCTGATGGGTATCTTGAGAATGTTGAATTCTTCTCACCATTCCACCCTTTGTGCTTGTGTGTGCAATTCTTGGGGGTCTGAGGGATTTCTGTTGGAGATTGTGAGGCCGCAGAGCTTACACTGGCTTCAAGGATCCCTTCGTTACGGAATTAAGTTTTTTTTCCTATTCTTCCTGACTATTGGACAGCCACTTCCCCTTCTTGCAAACCACTGAAATGTGGCTGAAGCACACTTCAGAGGTGCACTAGCTTAGCTGTTCTGCAATATTTCAGTTGGAAAGTGATGCAATTGTAAGTATGGATTTCTCTAACTCAGAAAACAGAACACTAATTATAAAAGTGATTGATTGGAAATCAGCTGACTCGTGTGTTGTGTTTTTTGTTTGTTTGTTTGTTTTTTTTTTTCCCTTTGTTTCAAATATTAGACGAACTGGAGCTGTCACCCACATCAAGATCCAGAACACAGGAGACTACTATGACCTCTATGGAGGAGAGAAGTTTGCTACTTTGGCTGAGTTAGTCCAGTATTATATGGAACATCATGGACAGCTCAAGGAAAAGAATGGAGATGTTATAGAGTTGAAATATCCACTGAACTGTGCTGATCCTACATCTGAAAGGTCAGAGAAATGGTGGTGAAAATCTCAGTTTCCATGTGCTACTTAATAAATGCATATGTTTATCCTTATTAACACTACAGTCAGCTTCAATTTGATGAAAAGGTGGCCACTATCTTGTACTAGAAGTGGTCCCAGTGATCCCACAGTGGGGTTACCTGCAACATAAACTAATAAACATGACTAAAGGTAAATCAATCTAAGCCTCAGGACCTATTTTCTTCCCCATTCTTCCTGGTGTGATTGAATACTAAAAATAGAGGGCATAGTTCCCTTGATTTTCACTTGGAGAATCTTTTATTATAGAAGTTCTCCTGAAGCTTCCTGAAGCTGTTATTACTGCAAGGAATTCCCAGGTATATTCCTGGGCATGACTTTATATGATTTTTCCAGCAGGGGGCATATGTATAAGAAAGTAAATCACATGTGAACCCTCAGATTGCTGAAACTCATGTTTTGAGGGACATGGCTAACAAGGAGAATCTGAGACTTTAGACTTGACATATACCGAGGAAGTATATGTGTGTCAGAAATAAACTTCTGTGGCCTGTAGATAATCAGTTTATTATCAGAAGTGAAAAAACAAGGAAAAATATTAAAACAAGTTCTCTCACTCCTCAGAATGGCTTGCATTTAACAGCGGTGGGGAGGATTATTGCCTTTTTTTGGCCACGTTTCTTGAAGAAATGCGATAGAGGTGATTATCCTGTTCGGTTCCTAATGTGATGGAAGGGTAGGGTCTCGAAGGTGATAAGTTCCCACAGGTTTGTCAGGAAAGTGCATCCTCTTGAAGGAAATAAAAGAATAAATGCCTTGACTGAGGAAAAGGTTGCAGTATAAGCTTGTGTTTGCTGGACACCAGGGAATCCATTTGGATTGTTGTAAAGCATTCAAATCAAAGCTTCATTTGAAGCCTGCGTGAAATGCAAATTTCAGTGCTTGCGGAGGTGCTTGCTTTGAAGTGTTTCTGTAATCACTGGTGTGTATGCTGCACGTACACTTCCAAGGCTTGTTTTGTGGTTTCATTTTTTTGTTTGGTTTTTTTTTTTTTTTTTTTGTGTTGCTTTTTTTGGTGTTTTTCTTTCTGTTGTTTTTTTGTGTTTTTTTTTTTTTGTTTGTTTTTTAATAAACTGTGAGGCCTTCTGTAGACCTGGACACTTGTTCTGTGTATAACTTAGTATAAGCATTTTACTTTCTTTTATAATAAAATATTTAGAACAAGCAGATTCAGCCATGGCTGGAATGACAAGTAGGGTACCTGTCTATATCTTACTTTATTTAAAGGTGGTTTCATGGGCATCTGTCTGGAAGAGAAGCTGAAAAACTATTAACAGAAAAAGGAAAACATGGAAGCTTTCTTGTACGTGAGAGTCAAAGCCACCCTGGGGACTTTGTTCTTTCTGTCCGGACAGGAGACGATAAAGGAGAGAGTAATGATGGGAAATCTAAAGTGACACATGTCATGATTCACTGCCAGGTATGATGACGCATGAGCTTTTTTAACAGGGCTACTTCCGTGGGCAGTGGGTTTATTCTAACAGGAGGGCCATCTTGTACTTCACTACAGAGAGCTAAATACATTTCCCCTTTCCCTGTGGTACTGTATGTGCTATATATCATCTGTTTGATCAAATTGACTAATTTGATAGCATCAAAATTCTATTAGGGTTTTATTGTTTTTGACTGCTTGCCTGGCTGAATCATGTCACACTATACTATCCTGTCAAGTACCTTCTAATAGATTTGCTTTTGATTGCATCAGAAGTCTGTCTCAAATCCTCTGCTGATGGAGTCTTTCATGTTCATGAATCTTCTTAAGTGAGTTGCAGTCTGCTGGATGAATTATATAAAAATATGAGTAATTGGACAAATAGAGATCTACCCGAATATATCTGCTTCTCCTGTCAGTTTGTAAAGTTGCACCTGATAGATGGTCAACATTCTGTGAAAATTTTGAGTATTGAGTCCAAGGAAAGCTTTTAAATCTAAAGCTTGAATTTAATATAGGGTAGTTCTTCACTGAAGTATTGTTAAATTATAGCCTTTTGATATTTTCACGGGTTGCTACCGAAAAAAAAAGTACAGATTTTGTCATTTTCTTTTTCTTCCATTATCCTAAAGGACAGTGCAGCAACTTAATTGTTTAAAAACAACAAATGCAATAACAGAAATAGTCCGGAGGTAGAAATGACCTACCAAGTCTGTAAGAGCTAAACTACCAGAATATTTATTTTTTTAAGAATACCTCTTTGATTTGCAGTTAACTACTAGTAGAGTTTACAACATTGAGGAAGATAACTCAGCACTGCTGCTTTAAAATATGGATGGTGCCAGTCAATACCAGCCTTTCAGGACCCAATGATACTCTGTTAGGAATTTGAATTGATTTCCAAAGCTACCTCTTGGATTCTAGTCATGTAGCTCAGGTAGCCTGCTTGAACTGGCTGAACCTCAGTTCAGGAGGAATCAGCTCTCCTGAAAAGGCAGATAAAATGATTTTCAATTATATGACAAAAAGGGTAATGTCCTCCACAGTGTGTGTGTCTGCTTATTAAGGTTCTGCCATCCCTTAGCAGAAGGATTTTTACTAGATTCTTCTGGTTTTAAGAGAATTTCTTATGTGTTTCGTAGCCTAAAGATGGTATTAGTGTAGATGTCATTGTGTGAAGTGCATTTATTTTTATGAGCATCTGTCTTTCAAGGATCTAAAATACGATGTTGGTGGAGGGGAAAAATTTGACTCTCTGACAGATCTAGTGGAACATTACAAGAAGAACCCTATGGTAGAAACTTTGGGAACAGTATTGCAACTCAAGCAGGTGAGTGAATGAAGACACCACTAAGCTTTGTTACCTTCAGCATATATTGCTGAAGTGCAGGCTTTTTCATGGGTTCTGTGAGACATCATTTTTTTTCTTTCCTAATGCAAAAATGAAGATTTAAACTTCATGAAACTGGATGAAGTCGTCAGTCATTTAAACGGGAACAATTTTTAATGTGCCTGTGAAGGATAGACTCTTGTGTCTCTGATGCATGCAGAACTTCTCTCGGTGTCATCGTGGTCCATAGGGATTGCAGGACTAGTCCAGAAATGAGACTATGTATTGAAGAACATGAGAAAATGTATTGAAGAACAACCGTGAGACTTTATCTAAAAGCAATTGTTCCCTGCCCACTTCCTCTCTACCCCCACTGCCCTTCATTGTATGAATTTTAAAGTTTTGAAGTTCAAATAGATGCCTGGATTCTAAAATTGCCTATATAAAATATACTTAGTGCAGGATATTTGTGTTTTAACTGTTTTCTCACAGTTTTCATTTGTTATACCTTTGTTTAATATTTGTATCTTTCTCAGCCTCTGAATACTACTCGTATTAATGCTGCAGAGATTGAAAGCAGAGTGCGAGAGCTAAGCAAGCTAGCAGAGACTACAGATAAAGTCAAACAGGGCTTCTGGGAAGAATTTGAGGTACTTCATTACATTCCAAGTGTTACAGTATTAAATCTCTACATTACTAAAAAGTTAGATTTGTTGTTGCCTTCTTGATGTTTTCTCATTTCCCCCTTCATCACTTTAGATCCTTCTTGCTCCCATCTCCAGTGTCAGGTACAGCATGTGTAAAAACTCCCCCAGTTTCACTCTTGTGTCTGCTAGTAAAGCGATTGAAATATTGCATTTTTTTCCTGAGAGCTAATTATGTTCTTCAGTGCTAGCACAATGCCTCCTGAATATTCTCCCCATCAGGAGGGAGCCTTATGTACAACCATATCTGACCTACCAGGACAATGTCATCATATCTGGCCCACCAGCAAAATTGATCAGGTTCATTCCTGTGTTCTTTTTCTTCATGCGGACAGGAAAAGGTCTGTAGGCTGGATTAACGTTTCTGGAGGCAAAGGACTAATTCCTAGCCTATGTTACTCTTGATGCTCCGAGAACCAGTACAGCAGCAGTATCTGATGCAGTTGGAATATGTCAGATGTATTGTGCATATGAAGGGAATTGCACCATGCTTTCTGTTGCATGTCTCAGTGCAGAGATTGTTTCGGATTGCACTCTGCTGTGTTTGGGAGGTTGGGTACCCTTGCTTCAAGGTAACTTCAGTGTGATTTCTCAGTCAATGTATGCTCTTGCCCTTGAGTTTGTGGCTTTTTGATAACCATTTTGGGGGATCTTAAAACTGTTGTGAAGCGGCAGTGGTAGCAAGCTCTGAGATGAAACAACATTGATTATGTGTAGTCCTTGGACTCCTGAAGATTTATCTTTGTTTTGTTTGGGTGTTATATTTCTACCTGCAGCCAAAATTCCATTTCCCTCTCAGAAAGTAGCATTGCCTTTCCTTCTGTCTTATCTATGCACCCCTTGTGTGTGTAATACAGCTGTGCTGGCCCAGCTTTCCCCTTCTTTGAAGTCCTAATGATTTCAGGGAGCTGTTCATGTTTGAAAGAAAATACAACTGCAAATGTTAATTTCTGAAGTAGAGCAAATTAAGTATGATCGTTAAGTAACACATTCCAAGCTACTTGAGTCTAGCTTGGGTCCTAACCCTTCTCTAATAAATGGAGTCACTTAACAGCTGCTTGCATGTGATGGTTGTAGCCAAAAGCTTAGAAGAGTCTTAAATGTAATACCGCACATACATGAGAAAACCACAGTGGAGTCTGGAACTTCACCAGCAGATGGCAACAGGAAACTGGGAAGTCCTGATCTTTGACAGAGAGGCTGATTTTGGCTGTGTAATGCTATTTTGAGAAACTTCTTGAATAGTGATGGGTTTGCAAAGCAGCCATTCTTGAACAAACTCTTTTTAGATCAGACATTCATTAGCTGAATATACATTCCAGTCTGCTCGGAGATTACTGTCGGGAGGAGAAGAATAAGTCCATGAGAAGCAAAAGACTTACTAAAGAGGTAACACATTTCACTATGAACATAGATGGAATAAAAGAAGGTGAGGTCGCGACAGTGAGGAAATCATAAAATGAGGATTAGGATATCTCCTCTCTCTTTCCCTGTGCTCAGTGTGGGGGGACAATCTTTGACCTAGGACTGCTGAACAGTCAGAATCCTGCCTGGAGGGGGAAGCAAGCCAGCAGAGCCTGCTCTGGCTGTTGCTGAGGACTTGAGACTCTGTTTCACCTTAACAGTAGAGAGGTGGATCCCCTGGGGAGCAGTTTTCATCTATTGCTTGTGAACCTTGCCTGGAGGTAAAATGTCCTCAACCTCTGAATTGCTTCTCTTGCGGAGTTTGCCACATGAACTTTGATATGGGGCCTGAAAGGTCAGGGAAATTAGCCACACCTGCTCTAATGGCTAAAACTTGCATATGGGAATTAATTGCTTTTTCCAAAGACTGGTTAGTAGTGTGCTTTATCATATCATGACACAGTCTTGTAGATTGCCTGTGACCACTGCGTGGTTTAGCTTGAACGTACATTTGTAAGTTAGCCAAGCAGAGGGTGTCTGTTGGCTTCCCTGGAGACTGTAAGCATACCTTGCTCTTATTCAGAGGGAGTAAAGAGGAAAGAGTGTGCCATGTTGGTTTGCCCTTCTTGTAATTGCTGCTGGCTTACTAGAAACCATATGAATTAATGTCAGTTTTCTTTGTTGTTGCTTTGGTTTGGTTTTGTTTCTGTTTTTTTTTTTTTTTTTTTTTTCTTATAAGGGAAGCATTCTTACGCGGTGTTTTTAGGAATGGATTGTTGTTTTGTCAAAATATGACTGAACTGTTACTTGACACTTATGACTTCTGACCTCTGGTCTTTGTTGAATAAATTTGTCTTGGAATAGATTTGTTGATCCTTAAAAGCAAGGTGTTTTCCTTCCTTGTGACTTTTCTGAAGAGTATTTGCTAGCAAGCCAGACGTCTTCAAGAAAAAGGAAATGTAAGAAATGAGAGACTTTACCTGTGAGACATTCTACTTCTCTTTCCCCTTCACTGCTGTTAGTAAGGTCAGCACTAAACCTTATTTTTTTCCACTGTGTTTTTGGAAATGAAGCAATCTCATAGCAGTTTGTGTCATGCCTTTTCAATCACCTCAGGTAAGCTATAGCTGTCAGCCTTGGTGGCAGGAGGCAGCAGGGCAAACTCCAGGTTGTCCATGGATCTCTGATTGTGCTGTTTATGATTTGGCAGTCCAGATGGTAGTTATAAATTACTTGTCTTCAGGCATATTTAAGAATGCCCCATGAACCACTAGACAGAAATGTTGACAGTCCTTGTAATGTTTTTGCTTCTGAAAAATGGCTGTTTGGTGAGCTTAATGCTTGGATGTTGTAGTGAAATTGAGGACTGTGTTTCAGATTTATTGTTGCATTGTGTACATCTCTTAATGGGCTTGTTAGAAGTTGCTGCTGCTCATGGATCTCTCCTCAGGGATGCTCAAAGCAATAATAATTAACTGTATGAGGTAACGATGTGTTTGAAGCTATAGTTTCCACACACTTAATTGTTGCCATTTTTTAACCTGCTAGCAAAGTTTAGCTTTTGGTTCTTCGGCTTGGCGTTTCACTTGGCTGAGATGCAAAAGTGTTAATATTCTATAAAGGTGCTCTCTAATAATGGCACTTGAAAGACCCTTGCAGTGTGGCAAGAGGTGAACTTACTGCAAAGTCCTGTTTCACCCATTGTTAGTAGTAGCAAGCAGTGCTTTATGGTGATACGTTTTCTGTCTTTGCTTCACAAGCATGAAAAATCTTCTAGCTCTCCAGTATTGCTTTTGTTCTTTGGTTTCCCTATCTTTAGGATGAGCCTAATTGTCTAAGGTCACTAAGTGAGGCACTAACAATAACAGTGACCAAAATAGAAGTGAGCAAATACACTTGACGTGCCCAAGCTTTAAAGTAAAAGCAATCTCTGCAAGAGTATTAAGGGTGGTAATAACAAGGGGAGCAGCTTCCAAAGCCTGAGTCTTCCTTTTAGTCAGGCCAGTACTGCTTTTGGGATTAAAACTTGGAACAAGGGCATTGAGATTCTCGTCCCTCCAGCCTCATTGCAAGTAGGGAGATTTGCTGCTAAGCTGCATGGCTGTGAAATATGCAATTGCTCTTGTCCCTGTCATATTAATTGTGAATCAGGCACTGAGAAATTAACTCCTTGTCAACAGCAAAATCCCCATGCAAATTTATTGTTTCTGCATTGGGATGTTTCATGGATAACCCTGTTTGTAGTTATCTAGTTTAGTGAAATGGCCTTGTGTTGGTAGAAGATAATAATTAGAGCACTTAGTGGTACGTGGCTGTGGTGGTAGGTTGTACATTGGCGTTGTACCAGTTGCATCCATACCTTTGAAAATACTGTAGCATTCCCATGTGGACTTTTGTTTTGGGGGAATAGACAAGAATATCTTCAGATCTTCAGCAGAATTACATTCTGCTTTGAACTGCTGAAGGACTTTTAACTGTGCTTGATATTTAAATACAGTTTCTTGTGCTGCTTTGGGTTTTCTGTATGTTCCTTCCTCTTCTTTGGCTGTCTAGAGTTGGTCTGGCTGCAGCTTGCAAGGATCCACTCTTGTGGCATTGCTATAACACAGCCTTCCTAACCCCAGGGACTTGTTTTGGGGCTTTTCCAGCAGTGTTACTGCAGATGTGCTGTAGCTGAAGGGGCAGGAGAAGGCTGGTAAGGCCTGGAGGAATGCAGTACAGCGTAGGTAGAGAAGCACTGGATCACAGAGTGCCTTACTCCTTTTCAGGTTGGCAATATTTTGAATACATTAGTTACTAATCTTTATTGGCACTAAAGCTAATGCCAGTTCAGTGGAAATTTTTAAACTTTACCTGCCTCATTCAGCAGAAAGGAGAAATACGATATTATTCCTATCTTATACTTGGTGAGAAAGACTTAGTGATAAATATGTTTATTTGGACCTGCTCTGTAGAACGCTGCTTGTGTTGTTGGTTTACTTAGTGTGCCTTTTAAGATGGCCACGTTTCCACAGACAAAATTTTATTGTGGTCCTTTAGCCAGTTATGTTTTCCTTGCACAGTGTTTTAAGCTAAAAGCTTTAAGGGTCCCACTTGCATCTGCTTGGTCAGAACAGTATCATGAGGACTTGCTGGTTATAGTGTGTGGTTTAAAGAAGCTTTGAATTTGTAGGTATCTATAATTATCAGATGGAAAATAGCTTGCCTTGTCACTCATGCTCCTGTGTTTCTTACATACCTTGGAAGCAATGTCATACTAAGTCTGAGTGGAGAAATCCAGTATATCTCTCTCTGACTATCTGGTGTTACAATCAAGTATCACCATTTTTATGAGAAAGGATTGCTGTAATGATGGTGAAACAGTCCATACTGCTTATATTAAAACCAGTTATTTGTGCTGTTTTCATTTAGACTTTACAGCAGCAAGAATGCAAACTTCTCTATAGTCGTAAAGAAGGCCAGCGTCAAGAAAACAAAAACAAAAATAGATACAAAAACATTTTACCCTGTAAGTATTGATTTCTCTGATTATGGTGTAAGCCTGCTATTTTTGTATGCTTTATTTTCTTAGCTTGTAAATACAGGGTTAATTAAGCACCACTATGCTTTTTCTTCCCTTTAGTGATAATTTCCTGTCTTATGTTGTCAGTATTAGTCCATGCAATTTCTAATTTGTGTTCAAATTCTTGCACTTTGTAGATACCAATATTTTGACTCCCAAATATTGTCTTTATCTTCAGCTTTCATTTAAAAGCGTCACATCCCTAAACTGCTATTCAGCAAACTCAAATGCTTAAATTTAAGAGGATTAATTTGTGGTACAAAACTGCATAGTGCAAATCCAGGGGCCATTTGCCTTGACTTAGTGCTTGACTGCCCATGTACTCCTGAGTTACTAGGGGCATGAACACTTATTTTGCTCTAGCTTGTTATGAATTGGCCGCTTGTTTTAAGAAATGGCACAAGAGGAAAGGTTAAATATTCTAGCCGGTAATTTACTGTTTGGTAACTTAATTGCTTCTGGTAGCAATAAGAAATATACCTGTCTATGGGATGTTTAAAAATAGCTGTGTGTTCCTAACCATAGGATGCAAGTGTTTAACATTCATATATATTCTTCCAGTTGATCATACCAGAGTTGTTTTACATGATGGTGATCCAAATGAACCTGTTTCAGACTATATCAATGCTAATATTATTATGGTAAGTATATTTATACCTACATGAGTGTTGTTGGCACAGTCTATGTCTACTTTTTAACATATTTACCTAAATCCAAGTTAGTCTTGTAACCATTTGTCATGATTTAATTTTTTTTTTTTTCTCTAGCCTGAGTTTGAAACCAAGTGCAACAACTCAAAGCCAAAAAAAAGCTACATTGCTACTCAGGGTTGCCTACAGAACACAGTGAATGATTTCTGGAGGATGGTGTTCCAGGAGAATTCTCGAGTTATTGTTATGACAACAAAAGAAGTTGAAAGAGGAAAGGTAAAAACAGACTCTCAAACTGGCCTTGGGAAAGGTCATGACATTTGAAAGCAAGTAAGGACTAAACTGACTTGGTTAAATTGATTTATATGCTGAAGTCTGGTGTGTCACCACTGCGATTGGAGACCTGGAAGTTGCTGAGTGTCCTTTTTTATTGGTGCCTGTGGGAATTGAGGCTGTACTTATAGCATCAGGCCTCCCTTTTTTAAGGGTTGGCTGATTAAACTTTAGCTACTGAATGTGAATCTATGTATTTTAAAATTACTCAGGGAATGAGGCACTGGAACGCAAGGTGCAGCCAACCAGGCATTCTGTGTATTTGAAGGGATAAACTCCCTGTTCCTATAACAAAAGTATTGCCATTTATTTTAGCTTAGCAAGCCTGTATAGACTTTACTAGAAAAGCAGAATTGTGGGACTTTGTTATAAGAATGAATGTAGATGATATTGCTTCTTATCTAAAAACTACAATATAATGTGAAAGTTGTTGCCTTGGATTCGTCTTTTTTGAGCCACATTTACTGGACTATTAGAATGTTATTCTCTCTTCTGACTCTACTTTCTGTGCTTGAATTGGATAACATTCTTATTACGAACCGAGCTAGTGATTACAGCTGAAACTGCACCTGGTTAGAAATCTCCCAGCCAGCTGTGATTTAGCACTTTTATTCCTGAAGTCAGGTCCTTTCTCTGCCTTTGACTGCCCTGTTCTCCATGAGCACAGCTGCCTGCTTGGCCTCAGTAATCTGTAAACCCCTTCTGAACTGCTCTGGCAGTATTTAATGCTCTGAAAGAGGAAATTTTCCTGCAACAGTGTATCCCAAGAACCTCTGTTTTACCTTTTAAGTACAGAGATCTTGTCTTCTTCACTGTCTTCTGGCAAATCTGAGGCTATTACTTTGTTTCTGGGTTCTAATGACATATGGCAAGAAAGAATAGGACATAGTTGAACACTTATACTCTGGCAAGTCACATACTGCTTCCTGTGTATAAAATAGTTTTATGTTTGGCAAGTGTTGCTTCTGATCTTATTTTCTTTTAGGTAAACAGTCTCTATTCTCTGCTTCTTTTTTTTTTTTTTTTTTTTTTTAATTTTTCTGCTTTTTCCATGTACCATTGTCCACCTTTTCCGATAATCTGATGATCTGCTTCTGAGTGGAAGGCTGTTATCTTGTGAGATGAGCATCACCTTTGAAGAAAATTGAATTGAAAGTATAGCTCATGTTTTTCTATGGGTGATTGATAATTGTGGGTGTTCCTTACCACTACCACAAAAAATGAGGCTTTGTGTATATGTATTGAAGACAAATAGTAGTGGATTTTTTGGGCTTCTATTCCTAATCTAGGTAGCAAAGATGCTATTGGTGGTGTTTGTAGAAACCACTGGACTCTGTTTTGTGGAATTTTTTTTAGGCTTTGTAAACCAGTGCCCATTCATCACTTACAAAGGGGCATGGTTTGTGTTTCCTTCCTGAGAATGCATTGAAGGAGGGAGAAGCTACCCCTTTCCAGTAACCTTCCTCTTAGATCTTTCTCTTAGAAGAAGATAAATAAATTATGGGCTTATTTTGGAAGAGTTGACATGAATAATTTTTTTTTTTTTTTTTTTTTTTATAACCTACTGAATGGCCTGTGCTCCTCTGCAGTTTCTCCGTGATTCTTTCCAAATTTTGCTAAGCCTGTTTTCTGTGCTCTGGCTGTATAAAACATTTTAATGTCTGATTACTTAATTGGTGCTACATGCATTGATTTTTTTTTTTTTTTAATTATTTTTTTTTTCTTTCCCCCTTGATTCCTATTCTACTTCTTGAAGAATTGCAAATAACAGTCCTGGTAGAAAAGCTTTTTTATCTTGGGTCAAGATGCTCTCAGATCTGCAGAAAGGAGAGAAACCCCTGCATCAAAGATGGCTTGAAGAACACATTGTCTAAGGAAGTGAGGAACTATGAAACATCTCAGATCTGCATAGAGATCTGAATATGCTTTAGAATGCACTGTCGGAGCAGTGAATACTTACAAATCAAAATGGTGGTGTTTTGGAGGCAGTCTATTGAGCCGACAATACATAACATCTCCTCTATCAGACTAAAACTTAAACTTCTTTTAACACTGCGTGTTACTGTTCAGACTTGCTATACCAACTGCTCTTGTGCTCAGAGTTCTGTATTGAAACTGCAAGTTATGCTGGCATATGCTAAGATCGACATCTTTTATCTTGTACCCTTTTGGAGATGGCAGGGAAAGAAGGGCAAAAGTAACAGTAAAGCATCTTGTTGCCAAAGTAGGCTAGAAAGCATGTGTTCAGTCATCTCTTACTGTATCTTGTGTTGGCAGAAGGAACTTTCTTGTTGCCATGTCTTCTCATAAATATGTGGTAGTAACCGCAAATAAGAAATGTTTCTCTGTAGTACTCAGTGTTTGGTCTGCGTTTGCTATTGCTGGAAGCTGCATCTATATATGCACTGTAATTTCTCATCTGATAGTGTGTGGACTTGTGTTACATTCACAGGCTAACAGGAGTTGCTCTTTACTGAACCGTCACAGGAACCAAATCTAAGTAGTAATAGGTGAACCTGTTCTTCAGTGGATGGATTCTATCTCTGGCCAAAGATGAGAGAAAAGCAGCACTCCAAAAGCTCTAAATTTCAAAAGCTACAACAAACACATGAGACTTCAGTGCCCTGCTGCAGGGAACAATTCTTTATTCTTTTGGTGATTGAATTAGAGAGCTACGTTAGCCCTTCCTGCTCTAAGTGATGAAAAAGCAAGCATCCATGTTTCATTGTGGCTAAAAATGGCTTGTGCCTTTGACTGGTATTTATTTTGCAGTCTGTAGGGTTTTGTTTGTAGAATAGCCTGTAAGGCTACAGCATTTCACTGGAGATTCTCAGTATTTTGAAACCCATACCTGGGTGAAGATAGAAGTAACAGTATTTTAATCTTGGGGGTTTGAAACTATTGAGACAAAGCAGGTACTAAGATGATCACAAAAGCTGCTAAAATGAGAGATTGGCTGTACTTGTTTGTCTGAAATCATCTGGTGTTTAGTATGGGGAAGAGAAACTTCCCCCTAAAATGTACTTTACCTTGTCAGCTAGCTAGTGATTATGTATGTATTCAGAAATGAAAGCTTCAGAAATGTGTTTGTTAACTAGTGTATGAACCAGCTTTTCTTCTTACTGATTACTCTGGTTTTGGTTTGGTTTTTTTTGTTTGTTTGTTTTTGTTGGTGTTATTGTTTGTGTGTCTGTGTGTGTGTTTGTTTTGGTTTTTCTTTTTTAATCTTTCAGAGTAAGTGTGTCAAGTACTGGCCTGATGAATATTCCCTAAAGGAGTATGGTGTTATGCGGGTTAGGAATGTTAAGGAGAGTGCAGCACACGATTACACGCTAAGAGAACTTAAACTTTCTAAAGTTGGACAAGTAAGTATGTTAATAACTCTGTCCTTTTATGTTGTAGATCACAAAAAAAAAAAAATTGCAGAAATAGACTGTTTCTTTGGAATCAATAAAAGCACTAAGAGATTAATAAATTGAGCCCTGTCTCTTTCTTTGAAACTCCAGGTTTAGTTCCGTACATGTTTCTCTTTGACCTTAGGATAATTGAAGGTTCTTATACCTAAGCACTTTTTGGCAGAAGATGCATGGCTGCAGAGCTTTGAGGAAATATGGAAATCAGGATGATGCTTTTTAAGTAATCACACTTAAGTCTAACTAGGTATTTGCTCCCTTTCATGGAGGTGGCTGCAGTAGAAGATGGTTGCGTGTGGATCCAGTATGTAGAAAGAGCACTTAAGGGAAGAGATACAAAAGATGAGGAATGGAGCAGTGAACTAGTGTGGAAATAGCACTTCCTTGTTAAGGAATAATTTGGATCAGGATGCAGAACAAATTGTGTAAGAAGCAAATAAGCAGCATGTGTTAGATTGGCATGTCCATGGGATGGAACTGAGTGGGAAGAAGTGTGTAAGGTCAGTGCTACTAGGTATGAATGATGAGTATGACAGACGAAGGTCCCTCACTGTTGGTCATCCTCAGACAGATCTTTGCCATGGCTTCTAAAGGCGAAGCTGGAAACGTTCTTGGAAACAATTGCATGGAAAAGAGGAGCTGAGGAAGGAGATGGTGTGACTGACTTGTCAGGCCAGAAAGAACTCTGACTTGTTCCCTCCTCTAAGAGAGTTGTGTTCCTGTGGATACTGAGAAGCAGGTTGCATAGGCCACCTTCTGATCTGACTCAACTTTGCCACATAAATGCTTTCAGCTGGACTTTGATCTGAAGGATTTTTTTTTCACGTATTGGTATCTTCCTTCCAGGGGAACACAGAGAGAACGGTCTGGCAATACCACTTCAGAACTTGGCCTGATCATGGAGTCCCAAGTGACCCTGGTGGTGTACTAGACTTTCTGGAGGAGGTGCACCATAAGCAGGAGAGCATTTCTGATGCGGGACCAGTTGTGGTCCACTGCAGGTATTGTGATGCCTCTCCTGCCTCTGGAGTTCTGTTGGATGTTGGATCCTTTTCAGCTTCCCCTGCAAAAAAAAAAAAAAAACCAAACCCCACTTAAAAAAAAAAAAAAAAAAAGAAAAAACAAAACAAAACAAAAAACAAAAACAAAAACAAAAAACAACTTTCCCTGAGAGCTACTCAGACTTTGATCTGTCAAGGTGTTTGTGCTTTCTGTTTTGCAAAATGATGTGTGCTGGATAAGTGTCAAATGGTTACCTTCAAAGCAGACTGTCTTTCAGAGTGTGCATGTCTGTATGAATAAGAATTTCTGATGTTGTATGAGAAGGTGGTGTACCAGTCTTGGCTAGATACATTTCAGGTGCAGGATCATGGAAATTCTAGTATCCCATCCTACCTCCTGTGAGTGCTTTCTCCTCAGTCTTAGCTTATAAATGAGATCCTTCTTAAAAAGCAAGGAAATGTTAGATCTCACCTTGTAGCTTTTTTCTGATTCAAGGACACTAATAAATGATGATGTACAGAAGTGCTGTTATGACTTTTGTCTCTTCCATGTTAAGTTGTAACTTAACCATGTTAAGAGTAACTTAAACATGCTAAGAGTAGCTAGGTCTCTGGTTACTGCTGGGTGTGAGGCTTGATTTCACTCTGGCTATAATTTGGGAGTCTAATGTCTCTTAATGTTACACTCTTACTTGGGCTGGTGTTTTGATGTCTGTTCAGAAAAAGCAAAACAATTACATTTTTCTTTTCCCCCCTTCTTTTTACAGTGCTGGGATTGGGCGAACAGGAACTTTCATTGTGATTGATATTCTTATTGACATAATCAGAGAAAAAGGTAGGTTCCCTCCCCCAGTTTTATTTTCCTGTGGGGCACTGACAGAGATATCACAGTAAAACAAGTGGAATGTTGATAGAATAGAGGATTCTAGTGATGCTACAAACTAGACGTGTGTTTGATATAGAACGGAATTGCTCATTCCTCTTGACTTAGCTGGTATCAGAGTGCTGAAACCCAGCTTCAGTTCAGCATAATGAAAACTTTCAGCTGAGGATTAGCCAGGAGTCTTGATTATGTTTTTCTAATTTGCATTATTTATTTTCCTACTTTTTTTTAATAATTCATGAGCATGTGGCCATCAATGTTCTCACACATACTGATTTAGAGTAAATTATTTTTGGAGAATGGTGTTGTATTTATGTATAAACTGCCATAAACACTAACTTGGCATGTATGTTGAGCTAAGTTGCATATGAAGTCGTCTTGGAACAGTGTGAAGTGATGCAGTTTTCTCCCCCTGTACAGCTTTCCACATTGTGCTGCAGTTCTACAGATCTGTATATAAGTAGTCAAGGACAAATCCTCTGTGTTAAATGTTAGCAGTCTTGATTATTGCAAGATCATTCAACTACACTGTGTTCTGCTAGAAGATGAAACCAATCTCTCCTCCAAAGACAAAATTTATTTTACTGTTCTTAACATTGTGATGATTCTTCCTAGGTGTGGACTGTGATATTGATGTTCCGAAGACCATTCAGATGGTGAGGTCACAACGGTCAGGAATGGTTCAGACAGAAGCACAGTACAGATTTATTTACATGGCAGTACAGCACTACATTGAAACGCTACAGCGCAGAATTGAAGAGGAGCAGGTATATTTGTCCTAAGTATAAAATGTTACATAGGAACATGTTATCATTTGATCAGGGAGCAGAGTTTCTTGTTTGCTGCCTGTGACTTTTGGAGGCGTGACTGCTGACTGTATAACCAATGCCTCGTGAAAAGGCTGGGTCTGCAGCCTGTTAACTCTGCTCAGAGAAGTTAGCTTATATTTCAGTTCATTATGCTTGAGAATTACTTAAACTATTAGGTGAAAGTAGAAAACTGTAATAGAAATAGTGTGTTTGGCCACTGGCGGAGGAAGAAAATCAACAGTCTGAGAGGCTTCTCTGTATGACTGCAACTAGTGCTGGTTTACCTTCCATGAAAATGCTTACATGTGTGGGATCCTGTTCTCCCTGTCCCCCAGTCCCTGCACCCCAGATCTCAAATTCCCTTAATATCTAGTTTTCTGTGAAAGAAGAATAAAAGATAAGGCTCTGTGAATTAATACAGAACCTCGTGCCCTGTTGAGTTTTGAAGAGATTTCAAACCGGTTAACTATTTCTAAATCTAACTATATCTAAAGTATGATAATCAAATTCAAATACCAGTCACTGTAATACCAATTTTGGAATCTTAAAGTACATGTTTATTAATAAGAGGTAAGTATATTAGACTGAAAGATTAAAGAATGTGTGGTGTTCTTGCAGTACATTGTCCAGCAAAAACCAGGTAGAGGAGTGATTTGGTGTAATAAGACGAGAAAAGTTTTGGAATATGTGGTGAAAACCGCAAGACCTTCACCTCACTCTTCCTGTTTAAGTACTTCATTGCACTCAAATTCTACAGTCTTTTACAGAAGTTATCTCCTTTTGTAAGAAAGAACTGACATTCTACTCACTGTTGCTTTCATCTTCTGCCTTAATCTCTGGTCATTTGGGATTTTTATCTTTTTGTTTCAAAATTTCAGTATCTTCTGCAGCTGTCTTGCTGCTCAGAAGGAGATAAACCACCCAGCTGATCAGGCAGATGCGGGGAGCTGCATGGTTAGCGCAGTGCCAGGTGTGAGATGTAATCCTTGCTTAGAGATGGAGTGTGCCAGCTCGGGCTTGGCACTCCTGTGTGGCTGCTGGCTGCTTTGGAATGTGGCAGAGCTTATTTTCTATTTGCCTACATTATGTAGTTGCGCTGTTCAACAGAGAGGATGGGGACTTTTTTCCTCTCCCCAGGACAGCTGTTGTGTGCTCTGATGGTGATTAGACACAAAGTGAAGAACAAGAAATCCCTCAGATGTACTTTTTTTCCTGGCTTTGGTGTCTTGCTTTGCCTTAGAGCTGCCTCACACATGTGTGTGTAATTAAGTGAGGCTTGTATCCTCAGCTTTTTGAATGTGGTCTCTTTCTGCTGCTGCCATTTACAAAGTAGATCTGTAACTCTCTTGATCGTTGTAACAGGTTTTGAATAGTGTTTTGATATTGAGTGGAACAGTGTATTTCTCCTATAGTGATGAGGCTCAGATAGTTGTGTTTCATCCTCTATTCGGTTACTACCTCAGAAGGCATGGGTATAAAAGTTTCAGAAATGGGAAATAGAACATTGCTTTACTTCAGGAGGTCTTGACCTATAACCAGGGTTAGTGGCAGCTATACAAATAAAACAATATAAAACTTCTGCAAAAGCAAAGCTTTGTGGTGACTATAGGAACTAATGTCCTGAAAAAAATCATGGTGAATTGGGAATGCTCCAAAGCATGTTTTGATAGAGCAGGAAGAAAATTAGCTGAGTAGTATACTACTAGGCAGAATGCTTGAATCTCACCTCAATAAGATAGTTTGAGAATGAAACACTCTGTTTTGAGACACTTTAACTTCTGGAACCTACTTTTCTACTTGCTTTAATTGCAGTTGCAAACAGTGAAAGTTGAAAAAAAACTGAAGTCAATTAGGACACCTTTATAGAAACAATATGAGGTCATGCTCCCTGTTTGCCTTTCAGTGTGGATGAACACGAGCCAGCTCTGATAAGGAGTTAGGTAGTCACATTAGCTAGCCTGTTGGCATGCAGGACTTAACCAGCTGGACTGAAGAAGCGGATATCTGAGTAGCTGCATCCACTCACAGATATGCCTGCTTTTTGTTGGTATTCAGGGAAAAATTTCCCTGCTCTGCTTGCATTCCCTCTTGCATTGCAATGCTGAGAGCCTCGAGATTTCATAGAGTTAAGTGTTGTGTTAAATATTGCCTGTCTTCTTACAAGTATAGAAGAAAAACAAAGTTGTTTGGTTTTTTGTTTTTTGTTTTTTTCCTGTGGAATGTGTGTGTTTTCTTACATCTAGGAAACAAGTAGTTCTTACCACACTTCTGTTATTCTGAATTAGGATAATTACAGTGAATTAAGCAGAAGGAAGATAAGCCAGATATCTACTTTTTCTTGGCTTGTTTTATCTGTTTCAGTCTGCTTAAGTAATAGAACTGAACAATTATTTTTTTTTTTAAATTGCTTTTACTATACAGTACATCTATAACTTTAATGGCCATTCATTATGCAGTTTGGGGGAGAGGGGGTCAAAAATCAAGCCCTAGTTTTGGGCTTCAGTATATTTTTGGCAGGTGAGGGATTTGTAGCCATAACACTGTATAATGCAGCAGAGTTTGAACCTTTGTGTTTTGTTTAAATCTTATTTTTTGTCATTAACCTTCCAGGTAATGCATCTGGACTGGTAGTCTGTTTGAAAGTGATTTGTCAGGAATAAGTAGGAGGCTGAGAGAGAAGTCCAGCAAAATAACAGAACAAGTTGAGCAAGTTTTGAGCAAGTCACAGAAGGCTATATTGGAAAAAATTCAACCTACATTGCTATGCAGAACGTTCTTAATGGAAACCCAGCAGCCAGAACTCCCCAAAGGCTCTAACAACCTCCGTTGTGAGATTGATTCAGGCTAGTTATTTAGTACTTGTTCAAGCATTTAAAAACTAAAACCAACCCCACAAAAAAAAACCCCAAACCCACTCCAACACTCAGTACCCTGTAAAACTTTAAAGTGAGGCTTTAATTTATATGTAGGTTTCAGTATATTGCCTGCATTTTGAATGTTTGTCTTGAAAAAATGAAAAAAGAAAGCCATATCCCCTTTCTTTCCTAGTGTGGCTTTGCTTGCTGGAGCCTTCAGTATCTTCAGATGAATGCCAGCACGATTGGCTGCAGCTTGAAACATATGCTGCAGAATACAAATAACAGCTTGGGTTCTTTTTATATCAGCCTAATGGGCTAAGATGTTATTTTATTAGAGATCTTGCAATGTTGTTACTCATTTGGCCACATCTCCAAGCTGGAAATAAGGTCAGTGGGAAGCCCACTGGCTGGTGCTGTCTATTAAAGAATGAAGTGTGGTTTCCTCTGCCAAGTAAGATGAAGCCTGCGTACGAGTGCTGGTTCATAAGGTTGGTATATTCTGCTGGAGATGGTGGTGGAAAGGGGAATATTGAAAAGTGAGGCTTTTCAGGTCTTATAACCAATAGCTAAAGCTGACCTTTATGTCTTATCCATGTTGTATGTGTTATCTACAGAACTGAGCTCTTGTCTCATAGACAAACCTTTCTTCTAAAAACATGTATGATTATTTACACATGTAGTTTCTGCACTGCTTCAGTGATTGTATTCTATTAGTAGTTCACAACCTGGCTTTTTGTTGTGTTTTGCTTCACAGAAGAGTAAGAGAAAAGGTCACGAATACACAAACATTAAATATTCTTTATCGGACCAGACAAGTGGGGATCAGAGCCCTCTTCCACCCTGTACCCCAACCCCAACGTGTCCAGAGTAAGTTTGCTTCTGTTGTTAGTGTGTAAGTTTTGAATGGTACTAACTAATCATCAGGGACCTTGAATGAGAATGAATTATCACAGAATCTGCCCTAGTCTGTTGCCCTGTGCTTTGGTCTTAAAATAAATAGTCACTGAATTATATTGTGTGTACGAATATGTTGTTTTCAAACTACATTCTTCAGACTGTAAATATTTGTTTCGTTTCAGAATGAGAGAAGATAGTGCTAGAGTATATGAAAATGTGGGGCTGATGCAACAGCAGAAAAGTTTCAGATGAGATGGTGTACAGAGACTTCCGTGCAAAGGCAGGTATGTACGTTCGGGAGTGAGGGTGCGTATCCAGCCTGGAGTTGTGGTGTTTGGAGAAAATGTTCGCAGAACCAAACTGTGAGAAGAACTGTAGGAAGGACTTTGTAATGCCCAAAGTGCGCATCACCTGTCCCCTTTAGGGCATTTAAATTCCAGAAGCTAATTTTAATTAAGTTGCATCTATGTCTACCCTTTCAAAGCAACATGGAACATTAGCTTGGTATTTTGGCCTTTGTTCCCATGTCCTGACTTACCAGTGACATAAGTTGGATGTCTTTATTATTCAGGAGACTGAAATTCTGCATGCTAGCAAAAGATGAGCAGTGTCTGCAGTTTGAACTTTTCATGTCTTCTAGAAGTGACCTTTGCTTCTGGTTGATGATAAGGATTTGTGCGCATGTAAAGAGATTCTAAGAACACTTAATCTTGTGCTCAGCCTCATAAAAGATGCGATGAGCGAAGTTACTGCTGTGCCTGTGTGCTGTGAGCAGTTGGTGTAGTACTGCTGTCATACTAGTAAAAATTAAATCCTTGCTTTTGCAGGGAGAGAAATCTGTAGATTCTTTTTGTTATATTTTAAATATCTGTTACAATTTGGTTCTTTCGATCAGACAACTTAATAGAGATATATATATAGGTTATTAGCTAATAAGTTTATCTGAGGCTTTAGTTAATGGGCTGTGAATACAGCAAAGGAATACCTTTGAATTCAAGGTGTCTTTAGTCATTAACTTATTCTGGAATCAAATCTAAAGCCTTTTGTCATCTTTTTTCCCTGTGTTTTTTAAAGACTCCAGAACCCTATTTTCCCTTTTCCATTTGGTGACTGTAAGCGCGCTTCATCCATTTAGTCCAGGGACCTTCTCCAGGTTTAGACACAGTCTCATCTTCTACTGCCAAAGCATCACCCAGTTTATAAATAAGGTTTGAGATTTTTGGTTGAGTTTAAGGTTTTCTTGAGTCAAAATTGAACACTTATGTATAATGTCAGAATAAAAAAATAACTCCTGGGTTTTTTTCCTAAATAATTTTTTATTTTTCTCTCCCTTTCTTTCCCAGAAATGAATATGTTTTTTAAAAAGGTCAAGAAAGAGATGGAAGAAGCTTCACATGAACGGTGAACTCTGAGGGCTTGGTACCTTTTTATTTACGGTTTTAATCCTTCAACAGTAGGCAAAACTCAAGACCATCTAAAGGTTGTTTATATCTCTTCTCTCCAATGCCTGATTTACAATTGCTCATTTTCCAAATAAAAGGAAATCCTTTCTACAATGTAGACAACTACTTTGTAGAGTCAGTTTTGAATCCTGCAAACTGTTGGACTGTTATCCATTTGTTTTTTAAATAGTATTTTTGTTTCACAGTATGGCTATTAGGGTTTTTTTTTTTTCCTTATTTGAGCAGTTGTGGGATGTTTTGGTTGGTTGGTTGTTTTTTTTTGGGAGGGGGGTGGGATGGGCGGTGGTGGGAGAGCAATGATATGGATAAATCCGTTACACTAATGTAAAATACTGATGGGAACAATACTTGATTGTTTGAAAACAGTGGATCACCAGTGTGAATAGAATCAGCTACGTGATAAAATTAGTCCTAATACATTTCAAACTCAGACTGAGTTTCATAGGGGGTGAGCAGTTATTGATATGAAGGTGCTTTTTGTGATAACTGATGGCTTTGATTACAACTTAGCTGAGTGGCTGGATAGGCTATTGTTGGGTAATTATGCAAGGTAGCCTTTACATCAAACAAAATTTCTTTTACATGATAACTACCCAAAATAGAAATTTACTGTATCTCTCAAAAGACACGGTGGCCTAGCAGTTTGTGAGGACACTGTCAATGTTATTTTGTCTGTGTTTGTCTATTAAGCAAGAGATTGAACATGTAGAGTTAAGGTATTTTAAAAAGTTGCATGGTGACACCTTGACAACATATTAAAAGCAGTGAAACAATTAACCCACTGTGCAGGCAGTTACCTTAGTATAAGGTAACCCTCTTCCCCTTCTGCTGGGGAGGTGGAAGCTGTTGAGCCTTCTGATTTTTTTTTTTTTTAGTAAGGCCTTATGCTAGTGCAAGTGGCTAAATTAAAGTTGTGCGGGGAAAGCAGTGCATGGAAGCTAGCTCTCCACTCAGATTGCCTTAGTGGGAAAGGGCAGCACGGGCAGCAGGCTTGTTCTGGTTTGCTTCATCAGGCAGGAGTTGGTTACCATTCTACCTGAAGTGCCTTTCAGAGCTGCGCTGAATTTGCTGTCCCTATTCGATTACAAAATCACGTTCACCTGGAACCACTTCTGATTGTTGTCACTGAGACAAAGTCCTCTTCTAGAGACTCTAGAACGAAGAACTGCTGTTAAGCTGCCAGTTAATTGGGTTTCTTCACTTTGCTCTGTCCAATTATCTGGACCAGAAGCTCCCCTCGAAGCTGATAGCAGCTGCATGTGTGCGTCAATGGCAGAATTGGTCCCTAGGAGCGGGTACCGGTCGTGTCTTACCAATGTCTTTCCCCATGTTTCTGGGGAAGTTCTGTGACTTAAGTGGTGTTAAGGAATGATTGCCATTTTCATAAAGCAGGTGCAGATGGTGAACGCTGCATTAAATTGCTGTATGCAAGGGTGCAGGGCCAATGGAATTGTGTTACTGGCCTTACTAGTGAAATTATGCTAAAGCCTGGAATGTAATTAATGCAGCTTTGTGAAAGGTTAAGTGGGAGATTACATTACCTTTTCCTGAGTGCTTAGCGAAATCAAATATTTGAACACTTTGTTTGAACTGAATGAAGGTGCTTCGTTAATGTTAAGCAGAATGTTGTTACTTTGCCTATTGTCCTTTTTGTCTTCTGGGGCTTTGGGCTGTTTTTTTATTGGTGGTGTTTTGTTTTTTTTTTTTGTTGTGTTTTGGGGTTTTTTTGTTGGTTTTTTTTTTTTTTTTGGAAAACCTGTCACCAGCATACCATAATACATGTTTTAATGTCATAGCCTTATACTCTAGTTATAAATAGTTGTGCCCTTTTTAGATCTAAAATTTCTAGTAATGATGAGAGAGAAATCTGTTCATTTGGTAGTGAGATGCCTCTTCTACATTGCCTGCTTCCTATCCCTATTTACAGCTTCATCCTGCTGAACAGGGATCGGTTATAAGTATTGGTATTTGTATAGAGCAATTGACAGCAATTAAATATTTGTCTAAAACTTTGTGCAAAGTTAGACAAATTCTACACTTCATATGTTATAGCAAGGTGGAACACGTGTTCAGGTTTGGAGCTATTCTGTGCCAAACTGAAAGGTCAGGGAAAAAGTCAAGAGAAATGAGAGAAGGATCCTGAATGAATCTGAACTCTGTTATGAACTCAGTTAATGTGATGTGTCTTAAAAGATTGACCTGTATAAGCAGCAATCAGTTAAATGGCCAACATAAAGTTGCCTCTTAGGACTTCATTTTAGCTGTTTAGAACCTGCCACTGTAGGATTTTTTTTTTTTCCTTTTTCTTGAAACCAGGGAATTATTACTGCAGAATGTGTATTAATCCGGGGGAGCATATGGTGGAAGAATGTCAGTGAGGGGGGAACAGAATCTGAAAGATTGTGAATAAATACCCCTCTCCTAACTGGAGTGTTAGGCCCTGCTGAATACCAAAGGGGAGACCTTGCAAAATAAAATCTGTCTGCCTTTCATGTACCAGCAAGAGAGGGACGATTCTTAAAACATTTTTTACATTATTTTAAACAATGACTGGGGTTTATGACAGATGAAGCAAGAAAGAGGAATGCCCTTTGGTACAGGGAAAATAAGTGAATGTGGGTTTCGTGTATTTCTAGTGAGTTTTTAGAGAATAAATTTTAAGCATTGATTTACAAGCTTTTGCTGTATCAATGGAATGGAAAAGGGATGCAGTTCTGAAGTGTTCTGTTGTAGAAGACTTTATACCACAAGGGAAACTTTAACCCAACTCCTAAGGCACAATAATTTATACCAGCATGAATTTGCTGCAGACTTCATTTATTGAATGTTTTATAGGATACACTTTAATTTCATCTAACTGTTGTTAGGACTGATTGGTTCTCCTATTAATCTTGACCAAACTTTACTTTTTCCTCTTAAGATATGTGTTTGAAACATGTTTAACAAGGATATGGCTAACAAAGTTATAAAACTTGTTTCCTTTTTGTTGTAGGGATGGGAAAAATCACAGCTGGTACTAGGATGTGTTGTCAGGTTTTGATTTTCTACCCATAACTTCATTATTTCAAATTAATTTTTAATTTTTCCCTTTTAAATAGTGAAACGTAATTAATAATTTCAAGTCTGTTTATTTATGACATTATTGTGATTTTTTTTTTTTTATTGCAGTACTAAAGACTAATGAAAAAGAAACCTCTTATTAGGTGGAGTAGACCTTGCATTTATTTTTTTTTCCTGCAATGTATGAAGTATTGTACTAGAGTATTAAATGAAATGTAATATTTTATTGAAAAATCTCTATCCTTTAAAAGGAATACATTTAGGATGTCATCAATTTGATGTGAATCATGTAAATGTTGATAATGCGCTGTTTATTATACATCTAGTGTTTCAGAAGACTCACTTATTGCCTTTTGCCCACATACATTCTGTAGACCATTTACAGTTGTCAAAATGTGACATTAAAATAATAGTTCATGTATAGAAATATTGGTGGTTGTCCATTGTTTTCGGTGCTGGTATTTATGGGTCTTAGTTCAGCTGCTCTGCTAGCTGCGTTGTGATTTTTATTGCTGCGAAGCTATATTATCAGAAATAAAAACGTATCTGTAAACATCAGAACTTCAAAAACAAGGGGGAAAAAAAAAAAAGAAATAAAAAAAGAAATAAAAATAATTTTCTTAAGATGGTTTGTCAGTTACTCTGTTCTCCAGCTGGCAGTCAGAAACACTGTGTTGTATGGGCACTAATCTTCACGTGTGGATCATAGTGTTTCCGAGTTGTCCTGCTGAGCCCCCATGGGATGAGATGCTGTTGAAGAGAGCGGCTGTCCTCCCTGAGAGCCAGGGGAGCAAAACTCCTATTGCACAGGATGTATACGAGCTTTCATCTCCGTGTTCCCACTGTCGGCTGCCAGCTGGCTGCCCCGTGGGAGCTTCTCCGTGCTGTCCAGGTACCGCCTCTCCTGTTAGCCCTCGATGGCTCTTGTCCTGGGACTCCTGCTCCTGCGTCCCTGCTGCCTTCTGCTTTTCTTCTTCTCTTTCACCTCCAGATACTTGACCCTCATTGTTTCTTTCTTGATTTTTGAACTGGGCGTGGAACATGCTCAAAACTGGGACGGGGTGGGGATTGGCCTCTTTTTTTTTTTTTTTTTTTTGGCTATTAGTGTATAATCAATCCGTTCTAATTGGGGGAAAGGAATGACAAACCTGTTATTTCTCTGTCCACATCATGCTTAGCTGCAGCTGATTCTTCAGGGTTGAGGGAGAAGTGAGCTGTTGCTCTCACTCCTGCTGCTCCTGCCTTCCAGATCTTTCATCTCTTGCACCATTTGCCTTTGGGCCTCTGCCGTTTCCTGAGATCCTTTTATGCCAGCACCATGCGGTGACTCAAAAGAGGGACTGGTGCTTTGAAAAGGAGCTGTATTGCACCCCAGGCTCCCTTCTGTCAGCTGCTGCTACCGTACTTCAAAAGCTATCAAAATTTCTGACTCTCTGCAGCACTTGGAGCTAGACACTTCCAAAAATGTAATGTCCTACCTGTTCTCTAGCCTGCAGCAGAAGAGTGTACACGTGCCTCTAAGTATTGCATATCGGTCTAATTTTAGGTCCACTAATACTGCTTTTTCTTTCTTAAAGCTGTTGGGAATGTTCCCACTAGGCATGTCATTGCTGTTACTGATTCCCTGAAACTAGACAGCCTGAGTGCTTTCACTAACAGATGAAGGGTTTTTAATTCCAGGAAAGGTTCCACTACACATTAGCTCTCCCCTTGATCCTGTTTTCGGGGCTGAATGGTAAAAATGCAGCTGAGCCATCCTGCAACTTTTTAGGGAACAAACGCTGCATGTTGTAACGCAGATGACATGAGCAGTGCTGGTCGAACACTGAGCAAATATCAGCTGAATTTGTCGTAAAACACGCGTAATCTCAAGGCAATGGCAAAGTATAGAGATAATCTACTGAAATGCCAGGAAGGAGGCAAAGCCTTATGGTTGAGGCCTCTGCAGATTCACATACAAGCTGAATTCAAATGAGGACAATAGCTATGTAGAGCAGCTTGGTTTTAAGGTGATTATCCTGCAGAATAAGATTTTTTTTTTTTTTTTTTTTTTTAATGAATGTGTCTAACAGTTTGCATTCATCTCTCTTTACAGCAATGGTTTTATAATCCCTTTCAGGGTTGGGGAGGGAGGGGGGCTCTGTCCAATCTAAGAATCTTGACCAAGATTGAAAGCGATAGTGATGTGGTAATGCTTATAGCCCCTCCTGTTTTCTCCCAGCCTGCTGTGTTGCCTTTTTGCTTTCCCTGTATGGGTAAGTACGAATAGAATTTATTCTCGCAGTGCTCTCGGTGTTTGTACAAACCTAGATGATCGGATATTGCTCAAGGACAAGTTTATCTCCATAAAACCTTGAAACTTTGGCTGACTTCATTATGACCTGCTATGCAGTTAGTGTTTAGGTTGGGTGAATTCTGAGACGTGCCTCCCATTATGCGGGAAGGTGCGTACATTGTACCGCTCTCCTGACCCTGTCATGGGCAGAGCTGAATGGGTCAGGAAAAATGAAGGTGTCTTTCAATCAACCTGTTTGCCGTTTCCAAAGAAACCGTTTTTCCAGCGCATCTCTCTTGGCAGAGCTGGTGCAAATCAGGTTCCATTTTCAGGGTAGCAACTCTCGCTTCGTGCCCCTCTGTGTTGCGCCTGGTTGTGCTTTTTAAAAAAGCCTTCACGCGCTAGTCCCTTCGCTTGGGATCACCTGGAGCCCATTGCACAGTGCTTGTGCTTCAAGTCTCCGAAATCTTCTATTGCCTTGAGCTGGGGCCTGAGGCTCAAATATGTATCTATTTTTTCCCCTTTTGTAATGGTTGGGAAAGATGCCTTCAAAGGATTCTTAATATGCTGATTGCTTCCTGTTTTCCCCATGGAGTAAGACTCAGCAATTCATAGATCAAAACGTTTGATTTGAAAAAAAAAAAAACAACAACAACAACAACAACAACAAAAAAACCCAAAACAAAACAAAAAAAAAAAACCAAAAAACAGCTCTCCCAATGAATGCCTCCAAGTACTGGAGGGGTTGCTACATTTTTAGTGTGCATCATCTGGACAACTCACTGGTTTTTTAAACTATGTGCAAGTTTGCTCCTAATGGAGGAAAGATGGTTGGATTCTCATGCTGGTGCTTTTCTCAGTTTCCTTATTTGTGTCATTGGATGTGAAACGGGAGGGGGAGGAACTCCCTAGTCTCTCTTGTGCTGGAAATCAGGCTGGCAGATGCTGTGATTCCTTCTGGTCTTTTTATTTAATAGGCCTGTGTCTGAGCTTAGTTTATGATTGTTTTTCCTGGCCACAATCTTCAGTTTTATAGATCTGTGAAAGTCCTGTGTATATTTACAACTATGAATGATAGCTAAAGGGGTATAAAGTGCTGTATAAGAAACAGGAGAGAGAAATAGTATGTAAGTGGTGGCTTTTTTAGACTGCTTGATCTCGGTTTATCTCGGTGTTTAAGGTTTTTTGTTTGTAGAGCTGGCGAGTGCCCTTCCAAAGGAAGAAGGGAATGGCTCTGTCCTTCCCGGTGGCGGGGCTGCGGGTATGCAGAGCAGGTCAGAGGCTGACTAGTCAAGATTGATTGCCCTCACTGTTTCAGATAAGCCTGACCTCAGCTCCTGCCCGACTGCAGCAATCCTGGCTTGGTCTGTTGGTATTTGCCCACGCTGGCCTTCCCGTAGGAGCCCGTGCTTTGGCCACAGACCTGCATGTGGACACGTCCTCCTGCTGCTTTCCTGATGCTTCTGGCAGCCTTTGACAGCAGCTGATGGTACTTGGAGCACTGTCCTAATTTAGCAGAGCAGAAAGCTGCTTTAATTCAGGTATTCTTCGTGAAGGCTTTTGTGCAAACAGCAAACCTCCCCGGCACTTCTCAGCCGTGCAGGCTCCGTGCTTTGCAAGTCTTTCCCCCGACAGTGTCAAGATCTGAGTTTCGATGTTCACCCGCCTCGACTGCGGTACTCGGTGCGTTGTGTCGGTGACCGATCTGCTCCCCTTCCTTCAGTCTTCTGGAGTCCCCTTGTTAATCACAGATGTTTGCAGTGACTTGCGTTATTGTAATTAACGGCCTTTCTGCGCGTTGCAGTCAGTTCACATTCCTCATGGCTCCTGAGCTCAGGGAAATGCAGAACTTCCAGAGCATCTACACTGGATCTCTCCATGCTGCTGTCCCTGCAGGTGTCCTGCACTAACCCCCGTGTAGCCTTCAGCCTTCTCATTTCTGTGATTTGGAGACTGCTGTTGTCCCCTAATAAAGAGATTTGACTAAACACCGTATGAAATTTGAGATCAATCTCCAAGGGTTCTCCCACAAGGATCTGTCTGAAAGTTAACCTTTTGATTCATAGCAGCTCATAATTGTACAAATCATCAGTGGCTGCACTGAATTTCTATTAGCTTTGGTCCATTTCCCAGGCCTAGATCTGCATAGTAATATCAGTGTCTGGACAATGTGCTCCTCACATTCAGCTGAATCAATCTAAAAGCTTTGAGTGGTGACTTCCATGGCAGAGATGCATTTCTGTGTAATGTGGAAAAGCAGTAGGCTCTTACTCAAATTACTCTTCCCAGGCACAGGTCACTGGATGGACTCAATCTGGATCATGATGTTTTTATCAGAGACACGAGAAAAATATGAAGCTGCTCTCCCAAATACTCAGTGCCTGCCATGGGTGAAAACCAAAGGATGGAGCCAGCGTGTTGCTGTCACCCTGCAGAACAGGTAAGTGTGTTCTCAGGACGTTAGCTCTGGCAGTCTGTGCTCCGTCCTTCCTGAAGGAAGAGTTGGGGTCCTATTCCCTGTAGCTATGTCTTACCCTTCTTGTTATGTCTTGCCATGAAGCTCTTTGGGATGAATTATATCGCCTTAATGGTAACACAGCTTGGGAAGTGAAATTGGGGGTGTGGAGCCCTCGTCTTGGCCACTACCTGGGCTTGCCTCATGTTTGCTGTCCTTCCTCCCGCTCAGCATCACTGTGCCTCAAGCACAATCTCCATCCCTGGAACGTGGAGGCTTTTTTTCCCCTATTTCATGCCAGGTGCAGGAAGAAGGGCCGTGGTGGTGGCGGGATTCCTTCTGCAAGGCTTGCTCCCCTTTCTCCGGCCGGTCGCTGAGTGTTTCTGACACTCAGCCCGCTCGGCGCTCTGGCGCGGGATCAGAAGCGCCGCGGAGAGGCTTTGTTCCTGTCTGTGCTGCAAACGGGCTGATTGCTGGTGCGTAAGGGCCTGGAGGCTCCTGCATGTGAGCTCTACTGTAGGAGTGTCTCTGTGCTTAACACGTTCAGCTCCTTTGAGCTTTGGGGCAATGGGTTGAGTTAAACAATTCACCGGCAGGCTCCGGCTCTGCTGAGTTTGACCCTCAGAGATGCGAGGAATAATAGACTGTGCTGACTTGTCAGTTATATCGTGAAAATAAACACCTTGGAGATCTCGGG